AACAAAGTAATATATAGAGTTTCTTTAAGGAAAAAGACTGTAGAAGGTTTTGAATTGAGAACAGTTTAGGCTTTGAGAAGAGGATTTCCTGCCTTTCTTCTAAATGTCTAAATACTCAGGGAGAGACTAAAAATTTCCCGGAAGGTCATAGAATCACAGAACAGTTCGGGTTGGAAGGGACCTTTAAAGATCATCTAGTCCAGCCCCCTGCTCGGGACAGGGACATCTTCCACGAGATCAGGTTGCTCAGAGCCCCGTCCAACTTGACCTTGAATGTTTCCAGGGATGGGACATCTACAGCCTCTCTGGGCAGCCTGGTCCAGTGTTTCACTGCCATCATTGTAAAACATTTCTTCCTTATGTCTAGTCTGAATCTACCTTCTTGTAGCTTAAAACCATTACCCCTTGTCCTGTTGCTACAGGCCTTGCTAAAAGTCTGTCCTCAGCCCCAGGTGCTGGGTGAGAGTCCAGAGGTTTGCACCATGATGCTCTTCCCATGCTCTGCCTACGGGCTCCCAGTAGCAGCGGGGAGGTGGTGAAGAGAGGCAGCGTTTACATTTCCTGCCTTGGCCATTAAAGTTGGCATCTTCTTGCACTGGTTATTTCAGCAGAACCTTCTGACTGAGAAAAATCAGCCTCTGGGCTGCCCAGAAGCTCCTGGATGCCACCAGTTCTCACACTGCTCTAGAACTGCCATCTTCTGCAGCAGCTCTCTTGGAAAAAATGCTTCAGAGGCTTAAAAGGGAGAGATCTTTGGATGGCTTTCAACTGCATTGTAAATGCTGGGAAAAATCAGTGTTTTAAGAGAAATCTCAGTAGCAGATGGTGATGGCGTTCATCCAAGAGAGCTTCCTCCTTCCTCCCTTTGAAGGCATGGATTTTTCTAGTTCTCAGATATGGAAGAGCTGTGGCTGCCCTGCATGTTCGTGTTGGCTGACTCTCTGTAAGTGTAAGAAAAAAAAAACAGTTCTCCATGTCATTGAAATAATTTCCTCCTCTTTCTTTTTTGTGTGCCACACCCCTTTCCTACCAAAATGGGAAAGTTTTTTCCATGCCCCAGACTGAGTGCTCTGTGCAGGTTCTACTCCATAGAAAATCCCTTATGGTATGTTAAAGAAGTACTTAATTTTGAGCTAGCACGCTTCTTCCTTGGATTCTTAACCTGTGGCTGGCATGTATATTATAAGAGATCCATAATTAAGAATCATTTGGTTCAGGTTAATTACTTTAATAGGCTATCTTTTAGAATTTATCCCTGGTGAATTGCTGAAGGTATAGCCAAGCTGTTTGCAGATTGAGAACACCAGCTGCTCCACACAGAAGCTTTCTGCAGCTGGTGCTGCACAGATGTGTGAAGCCAGCTCCAGTTTGACATTCTGTCCTAGTGTGGAGGGTTGGATGGTCGTCTTGGGGCCAGCTGGGCTTCAGGAGGACCAGTGCTGAGTGAAGACTAGTAAACCTTGAGCCCAACCTGGTCGCTTTACACCATGCTCTGCAGGCATCACTCCTGTTTGCCCGTTAGCCATGTGTTCTGGTGTGCTAGACAGTGGATAACTGGCGTGGTTTAACCCCACGCTTGATGTTCTGCTAGTTCAGTAACACCACCTGAATAAAAGGTAAATTTATAGATATTAAAAAAAACGAAAGTCTGGAGCGCACCAAGAATGACCTGGGATGAAGTTTCTAAGGAGCTGCTATCTTTTTTTGTGACTAGGAAAGCTTCCTAAACTGATGGACCAAGTTGGTGATTCTCATGCCCTAAAATCTGGAAGGTTTGGTTCCCTGAATGTAGGATTTTGGTGTGTGAACTTCATGGCCAACTTTAAAATGAGCTAGTGTTATTCTAGTGAACAAATTCTTGTACTAGCAGCTGGGTGTCTACTCTGAAGTGGAAGCCTGTTAGCTTGTGGTGAAGCAGCCCATATGGTGTTTTCAGTTACGTGGCTTCAGCAGGGCACCGTGCCTTTGTTTCTGGATGCTTTTCTGCTGCACCCCAATGAGGGCACCTCCAAGACCCCACCCTGTGCTCGCTCTCTCCGCTTTTACCCTTGCGTAGCCTGGAAAAGTGAGGCTGGGGAGAGGATCACTGTCCCTAAATACAAGGATAGCTTTAAAAAAAAAAGAAAAAAAAAAGTGCAGGCTTCATAATGCAAAAGAAAAATTTGCATGTCCTGACAGGAACAAATATATTCCAGAAATCCAAAGGAGGTTTCCCAGCACCAGGACATGAGCTTTTTGGAACCAATCCCTTTGTCTGAGCAGAGATAACAAAGCAGCCAAGTGCTTTTAAGAGTGGGAAATTTTTGAAGAGGGAGCCCAAGATGTTAGTGACCACAACGGACAGGAGAAGAGTTGGCTGAGTAATGTGTGAAGCCTCTTCCTGTTCCTTTTCTGCTGTAGAGCTTGCTAGTTTTGCACAGAGTTTAAGTAGGACTGAAAAGCACAGTGCATGTGGGGAAGCTGGTTTTAGTGATTCTGTGCATTAATGGGGTATTTAAATAGAATGGTGTTCACCAGTTCCAGTCCCTGGAGGGACTGGAGCAGCAGTAGAAGGCTCTGGTTTGGCTGCCAATGCCCTCTTTCTACCTGTGTGATGTTGAGGGTGTTTGTACTGTTGTTCCTCTCAATAGGTAGTCGATAAATCCGGGACTTTGATTTGAAGAAAGACAAAATGCTTTAAGGGGGTCCTGTTCTGACTTCTGGATGTATGTGACAAATTGGAGATGACTTTATTGTTGCATCAGGTGGGTTGGTGTGCAGGATTTTAGGTTTAAGGTGTCGGGATGAGCAGGTGAGTGAAGCAAGCAGACACTTGGTGTTTGCTGCCCTGATGCCTGCCATGCAGAAGTAGGGTGTCCATCTCCCTGTTGGAGTGGTCATGGTCTTTGTTGTGTCTGTTTGCCACTTCAGCTGCTGTTGCCACACTCCTCCACGACAAGGCCCCTTCTTTCAGGGGTACAAACCCCCTGCAGTTTGCCCTTCCTTTCCCTTCATTTATGCTCTTGTGTCTTGGACTCCCCATTCCATGAGGGTGCTCTTCCCGGTGCGGTGTCCCCAGGGATGTGGTTCTGCTGACGTTGTGTGATGAGACCCAGGCAGCCAGCATTCCTATCTTGAGAAGTAACTTAGTTATTTAATTTAGCTATATTAAGATTTTCATGAGGGAGTCTTGAAGAAAGGTACATATGCTAAACTTTTCCCCAAGTAAGGCACTTGATAGACTTTCTGTCCTGAAATGCTGATAGATTGTAATTCTGGAGTACAGAATGAGAAATTGTGATGAAAGAAGTCCTTGAATTGCTCCTGCTTTCTCTCTCCGTTGGACTGTGATTCAAATTTCTCTCTCATTCATGAAGAGTTATTTTTATATCTGTTCTTGTTTGAAGTAAATGCATTAGAAATAGAGGATGATTGAGATGTGGATGTGCCTCCTAAAATAGAGCTTGCATCTTCTTTCAAGATTTCTTTTGCTGGTGGTTGGGGTGGCCTCTATGTAAATATATAAAAATAACTCAGTGATTTAAAAATAACATGGATAACTGATGGCTGTAGCAGCTCCTGGGGAACTGTGATGCTCTAAAAGGGCTGTTTTATCTCTGCTCTGTACAGCAACCAAGTTAACCCGCTGAGGAGAGAATACATCCTCTTCAAACACGTGCTTGCCCGTCGGGTTTGTGGCTTTTCAAAGATGGTTTGGTCTGGGAGCAAGCTCCCCTTGTGCCTCTGGGTTGTTTTCTTTGCTGTTCAGCTTTCTTAAGTGCCGCCTCTGGGTATTTAGGTATGGCTTTCTGAGGGCACAGTGCTCCTGCAGCTCCAGTGGCAGGGTCTCAGCCTGCATCTGCTGGGATGAAGGGACAAGGAACATGCCCTCGCTTGGGCAGTTCTGCCTTCGGGGGGTGGCTGCTGCTTCCCTGACTCTTACCGGAGGGACGCTTGCTTCCAAATGGCCCTAGGAAGGAGGGCTTCTTCGTGTTGCATGCTTATCTATCCGCAGATAAGCAAACACATTTTGCAAAAATAACAGTAGCATGTTATCGTTCCTGTCTCCAACACGTAAGAATTTTGCTAAAACCTGAAATCCTTCTTTCCAGAGGAACATTAGTAACATCTATGCTGCATTCGGGTTTGTTTTCTAAAAATTCCTTTTTTTCCTTTTGGAAAAAATGCAAGGGCTTAATCCTGCTGCCGTAAGCCATAACATGTGGCTGCATTTTTCTCTTTGCTCTGGAGCCCGTGTATCTTGTTAGCTCTAGCCTATCCTTTAGCTCATTAATAGTAATATTAATCTGTTCCAGCTCTCAGCCCTAATCGCAGATTCCATCTGATCAGGGTTTTCTCTTGATCTTTTCCAAGAAGCTCATTATCTAATACAGCTGTAAATGTTGCTGGGCCTGACACTAATGCATATTTTGTACCATGGGGGAATTTGACTAATAAAATAATCCAATTAGACATTTGTTTTTGTCTCCCTGGGGCATCTTAGATTACTTGTCTACCTCAGTTATGTGTTGTAATTAGTTAACGTTTGTACATCCCTTTGATGTAAAAGCACTGGTATTATCCTTGGCTCTGGCTCTGGATCAGAACTTTATAATATAAAGGGATAGCTGGGGATTAAAGTTGCAGCAGTATCTAGCGGGTGTAGGGATGCTGTCAGACCAGTGCTGTGTGTATCTCCAGTGCTGCATGGTGGTGGTGGTGTAAGTATGTTGAGGATTGCATATCAAATGTTGGGAGCTCCTCAACACGAGGTATCTCAAAACAGGAGTTAAGTCCATGTACAGAGGAGTCTCAGCCACACTTGTCAAAGACAGATGAGACTGCTAATATTTTCTCGTGTGTTTTCCACATTCGAAGTGGATAGATCTAACGGGCCTGTGTTTTGGGAGTCCCTAGAGAATTATGTGAATTAATTCAATTTATAAGTATTTTGCTGGTGGTATGACAGTATCATACTCTGTTCCTTTTTCTCTTTTTTTTTTTCTCCTCTCTTTAGTCTTTCCTTGGTTTGGCTTGGATATTGGAGGGACCTTGGTCAAACTTGTTTATTTTGAACCAAAGGACATCACTGCTGAAGAAGAGGAGGAAGAAGTGGAAAATCTCAAAAGCATCCGCAAATACCTGACATCAAATGTAGCCTATGGATCCACAGGCATTCGGGATGTGCACCTTGAACTAAAGGACCTTACCCTGTGTGGACGTAAAGGCAATCTGCACTTTATACGCTTTCCTACTCATGACATGCCTGCTTTTATTCAAATGGGAAGCGAAAAACACTTCTCAAGCCTCCATACTACCTTATGTGCCACGGGAGGTGGAGCGTACAAATTTGAGCAGGACTTTCTCACAGTATGCATTTTTGGCTTCTATACGATTAGGATCTGGTAGTGAAATTTTCTTAAAGCTGAAAACTAGAAAACTTTCTCTGCAGACTCTAAAACTTCTCTAAATATTAGTTTTGGAAGAGTGTACCTAACTCAAATTAAACTTGGTTCAGGAAACAGCATGTGCAGTCAAGTTTGCATCTCCAAATTAGGATACTTTCTTTCCTGAAAGTGCATGTAACATTCCTGTAACTCTAAAATTATTCTCTAACTTCCATGGCGTGTGCTCTTACAAGACTTTCTCTGTCTTAATAATCTGTGATCATGCTGATGTCAGTCTTGTGGGTTTTTTTCTCATTGCTGTCTTCTCACATGCTTCATACTTGTTTTATTGTTCCTTTGCTCATGTGGTTTCATTTCTGACACACATGTGAGTGAGCTGATTGAGGTTCAGTCAAATTTGGTGGTGAATTAGCTGAAAGGTTAGTAGTTGGAGTTTGACATCATCATGTGGCTTCATTATAAGTTTGATTCTTGTTCATAGGTGAGAAACATGTGTGATAAATACTTTTGTTTAACCAGGGCTTGAAAAAAATGCACCAAACAAAGAGGTTTTTTGCACAGTTGAGGCAGTGACACGAGGGTAAAACAATTTCATAACTTCCTCTGCTTTCTGGGTGGTTTTTTGGCTGGGTTTGTTTTTTTTTTTTTTGTTTGTTCTGGTTGGTTGGTTGTTTTTTTTCTTTTTTTTTTCCCAACAGTTAAGTCCCTTCTCATTTTCCTTTGTTTGCCTGCTAATGCCTCAGAGTCAGGGCCTAAATCAGGCCATTGGAAGTTGATGGGATTCTCTTGGCGTCCATCTGTGGATCCATTTGTTTGTTTCCCCCCTCTTCCATGTCTGCACACTTTAGGGCCAGGGTAGTTAGCAGCCCACGTGTGAGGAGAAAGATGGAGCCCTCCTGTGACCGGTACTTCTCTCAGCCACCACAGGGAGTAATGGAGACAGCCGAATTTAGCTGGCAGTAAATGCATTTTTCTAGCCCTGAGCATAAACACTTCAGATCCCTAGCTGCTTCTTGAATATTCTTCTTTTTCTTTTTTTCCTTTTTTTCCGCCAGATGGGTGACCTTCAGCTTTGTAAGCTCGATGAACTCGATTGCCTTATTAAAGGAGTTTTGTACATTGATTCAGTTGGATTCAATGGACATTCAGAGTGCTACTATTTTGAAAACCCGACGGATGCTGAAAGATGTCAGAAGCTCCCATTCAACTTGGAGAATCCGTATCCTCTCCTTTTGGTGAACATTGGCTCAGGGGTCAGCATTTTGGCTGTGTATTCAAAAGAAAACTATAAACGGGTAACGGGTACCAGGTGAGTGCTGTGAAGAGGGTAAATTCACTTTGAGTTTTGTTTTAGAATCTGGAATGTATTTCTTCATTGTAGATGACATTTCCAGGGACAAGCTGGTGAGTGGAATGACTGAGCTTCTGCTTTTACTGCAGTCCCTCATCTCTGCCAACAAGGATCCTTCCTGGAAGAGAAAATCTGAATTTCATGTTTTGGTTTCCCTACTGCAACCAGTCTCTCTAAGTCCTACAGCAGGGCAACTGAAAAAAACAGCTCCTAAACTGTTTTGTTTGCCATTGGCAAGATCCCATAGTTTGGGATTATCCCAAATACATTCATCGTGATCTTGTTAACAACTGTTAGCTTTGATCCTAGCAGTAGATATTTGCATCCTGACTTCCGAAAGTCACCTTATTTTGGTGGAAAGGATGCTGGCATGGCACTAATTCCCCAGACAGTTGCTGGGCTGCTGCAGCAGCCCACATCTTCTTGAAAATGTGACTCCTGTTGCCAGGCAAAGCCAAAGAGCTCTGTGGCTTTAAGCTTTCTTGAATTTCCTGAAAGTTAGCAATAATAATAAACTCCCCCCCACCAGTATAGATCTTACTTTTATCTTACTCTTATTATACATCGTTATTGGCATACGTGCACAGTGAAGTGAATGGGGATGTAGTTTTTTCCTTTAAGTTTTGAATATCTGTGCCCTAATGCTTCAGTTATCCTTTGGGACTAGTATTTATTTTAAGATTGACTTCTCTGAGTGTTGGGAGGAAAGATACTGTAAAATAAGAAAATTAAGTTGTCATTTAGAAACATGCCCTCTGCAGAAGGCTGTGAGGGCATGGGATTCCTTACAGGCTGTAAGTTATTTGAAAGTAAGAGATTTAAAGAAAATTGCTGCTCTTCCAAGATTGCTTCTAAAGAGGCAGAGAAAGAAAAAGGCCTGTTCTAGGGAAAGCTCGGATCATTCAGCTGTGCTCAGTTAGCTCAGGCTGCTCTGTTCCTTCAGCTGCTTCTCTTTTCAGTGACAGCAAAGTGGGTGACTTTCATTTTGCTTTATGTTGCAGCCTTGGAGGGGGAACCTTTTTTGGTCTCTGCTGCCTTCTTACCGGTTGCTCCACCTTTGAAGAGGCCCTAGAGATGGCCTCCCATGGAGACAGTACCAAAGTGGACAAACTAGTGCGGGACATTTACGGAGGAGACTACGAGCGATTTGGATTGCCAGGCTGGGCTGTAGCTTCCAGGTAATGACTTGACTGATCTTTATTTTCATGGGAGAGTCTGCAAGGGTGAAAAACTGGATTTACGTCTCTTAGGAGAGATACCATTCCTTCTGCTGTTCTGTTCTACCAGATCTAAATTACTGCTTTTTCAAGTTAGAAATAAATACTTGAAGACTAATCACTTCAGTTAAATTAGCAGTTCCCATTTTCTCCTGGAATTCTGATGCAAATGAACTTCTAACTCGAAAACTGTCTTTACAGCTTTGGAAACATGATGAGCAAGGAGAAGCGGGAATCTGTCAGCAAAGAGGACCTCGCGAAGGCTACTTTAATAACCATCACCAATAACATTGGCTCCATAGCACGGATGTGTGCACTTAATGAGGTATTAAGGGGAAATCTGTTTCATAGCTTCCTGTCTGAAGCATTGCAGAATCTCTCCTTCCCTGCATACGCTTCTGTAGACGCGTGTTCATGCTCCTCTTTTTGGACATTCAGTAAGTTGTAATCGGCTCGTTTCGGATTCTTCACTAAATTTTGTCCTTGCTCATCTGTGTAGTTTGAGCCAGATCATTGTGCTGTGAACTGAAGAGCTGTGAATGAATTAGAGGTTGGCTCTTGGTCTTATTAGGTCCTGTGCTTGGTCAGGAGTCGAACAGCTTCTCTGTGGTGGTTTGAGGAACAGAAGGTGTGCGATCAACTACAGCTCTTGGGACTGCTGAGAGAGAAGGAAAGGTGGGGTGGATGGGCAGGGAGGCTGGATACCTTTCTTGTGTTGTTTTTACGAGTTGCTCTTGATTTCTTGGCCAGACCCCACCACCTCCACAGCCGTTCCAGTATCTTTGTGCTTTCAGCTTCTTTACAGTGCTGCCTTGTTGCATTCATGTCAAGCAGCATTGTACAGGGCTATGAAAGAGCAGAGACATGCTCTCCACTCCACTCCGAGCCCGTTGCTCTGGGATGAGCTAACGGGGTGAAGCATCCTCCTGACTCCTGTTGCTCTTGGCAGATGTTCCCTATTTACCTTCATTTACTGCTGAAACATAGCAAGATATATGATAAACAGGCCTGCCCACCATACCGAGTGGGTCCTCACTCTAGAGGACACAGCGAAATGCAGAGAGGATGCTGAATAGTTAGGGGAAAGTGCTAATGAATGTGGGGATGGAAGGAAATCTGTAGAAGGATGAAAGTGAAGGAGCAGGTAGGACTTGATCCTGATTCCTTGGTAAGAGGAGGAACTGAAAATTGTTTTCTTGTTGGGGAACGAGAAAGCTTCAGAGTTCATCACTTGGCTCAGGAGAACTGTTTTGGGATTGAAAAGTTTGGCTGGAAGTCTAATATCCAAAATAGCACTACTTGGTTGGTCTTTTCCTTTCTTTCAGAATTGTGTTGGCTGTTGGTTTCTAAATCTTTTTTTTCTTCTTTTTTTTTTTTTTTTTTTTTCCAGATTAACAGTAGAGAGCCATTTAGCATTTTTAATAATGAGTCAAAGGCCAGAGTTGGGGGCGTAGAGAGAGGAGATGGCACTTGATGATCAGAGTTCCTAGCCAGTATAAGAATCTCACAGCAGAAAATCAGCCGTTCTATTCAAATTCCACAGCTGGAAAGGCTGTAGTTACACCTCTGCATTTCTGGGTACTCCGGTAGAATCTGAAAAAGAGTCTGTTTTAACATGACCTGGCTGGTACTGCTTTCTGATAGAGTTGTGGATTCTGTAGATCCTGCCTGACACTTGCAGCATTCACTTGGTTCTTTTTGTGTGTGTGTTTGGTTGTAGCCTCTGAGCCTGAGGGACCATCTCAACGCACCCCTTTTGATCTCACCTTGCTCTTCTGAACTGTCTCTTGCTGCTGCCAGACCCCAGCCTGACTCAGTGTCATCTCTTGCTTGCAGATCAGCTCTTTTGGGTCCAGTTTTATAGTTCTAAATTCAGAAAGCTGCAAGTGCATACTAACTCTTCTCCCTGGAGCCCCCATCCCCACTCACCAAGGCAGTTACGCTCTTTAGCTGCCAGAACAGCTATTTGGGGTGATGCAGTTTCTCAGGATCTGGTTGCTTTAAGGTGGACGGGTGATTTCCCTCTGCTTTCAGCTGGTTGGTTTTCATCAACTCTCACTAGAAAGTGTACTTGAAAAGCTGCGTATGGCATTCTTTCTTCTTACCCTACGCTGGAGGTTTCATTGTTGCAAACAGAAAATGGAATTCAGCCTTAATGTTCCTTTTGTTTTTCCTTAATACTTGCAGAACATTAATCGAGTGGTGTTTGTTGGCAATTTCCTTCGGATCAATACAATCTCAATGAGGCTTCTGGCATATGCGTTGGACTACTGGTCAAAGGGACAGTTAAAAGCACTTTTCTTGGAACATGAGGTGAAATTACTTTTAAAATGTATCTTCTCGTGCCAATCCTTTGTGAAACAGCTGTATGGGGTCTAGGGGTTGATGATGCATGCTCTGCAGCAGGTTCCCAGTGCTTTGTTACTGCAGCCACAGTTACCACCATTCCCAGTGCAGGGTCAGAAAACACAGGTATATTATTCCAGTAGCTAATATCAGAATTGTTTACTACCAATTTCATCTTGCTTGTGAACTTTCTTCTAAGCCTATTGACAGTATAGATGATTTTGTGCATCTCTGCTTTGCAATACAGTGATTATAGTAAGAATCTATTTTGTGACGTACCTACCTATAGTTATTTCTTTCCACTCTCCTTTATAAGTTGTTAAAATTACACCATATGTGTAATATTACTGTTCTTGTGTTGGGTGCATGCCCATGTTTGGGTTTTTAATTCCTGTCTGTTTGCTCTGCAGGGTTATTTTGGTGCAGTCGGTGCTCTTCTGGAACTCCTGGATTCAGCCTGACTCCGTGCAGATCCTGGACGTTGCATCTATGAAGTCAGGGGCGCTTCCTGGGTCACCTTTTGCTTCAAAGCGTCTGTTGAGTGACTGTTAAACTAATTGTGCGTGAACTAATGAGAAAAGGAAAGGACTGTTGCGTTTCTGTCTGTAAAGAGTTGAAACCAATCGTCAGTTACAGCACAGGTTTGTTCAGAAGGAGTGTATCTGCAAATACGCCGAGGGAAGGTGGTGGTTGTGTCTGGAACATCTGTAGGGCATTTAGTCATTGACACCAAATAGCCCTTTTTTGTGTAGTTTTCTACATATGTTTAAAGGTGGTGACGTGGCAGAGGACTTGCACTCTGTTCCCTCCATCAAGGTTCCCCCGAGTGCTGCAGTGCCTACCCACTTCACAGGGTTCAGCTGCAGCGTCTTACGTTCCTCAGAGGAAGGGCACGGCGTTCACACTCTGCTCTTAGCTCTCTGTAAAGGGGAAGGAACCTCAGCACAGCCCTGGCACGTGGCAACCGTATGGCCCACCTCTGTCCCCTCTGACCCACGCAGTGGCCTCTCAGACACCGTTGTGCTATCCGTGAGGCTTTATTCCTGTTAGTGCAGGTTCTTACCTTTGTACGCAGGTTACTAGAGACAACAGGCACAAATCCCGTGTCTCGGGCACCCCAGATCTGCTCAGGTTGATCCCCGTTTCAACCTGTACCACTTCTATGCAGACCACAGTAACCTTTTGGTGTCTGCCACGGTGCTGGCACAGCGTGAGGAGTGTCTGTCAGCCTCGGACCTTGAGAGCTGCTAAAAGCAAATTTGAAGATGGAAATAGTGGTTGTTGGGTTTTTTTGTTTGGTGTTTCTTTTCTCTGTTGTAAAACTTGGCTGCATATAACAATACCAAAGAGATTACTTTTTCTTTCAGTCACACGCTCTGGATTTTCTCTGTAATATGTTTCATTTTATGTTTATTAATCGCTGAACTAGTCGTTTCTGGGGGAAACCTCTCCTTCCCCTGTGCATGCTGTACCTTCCCTGTTTTCTCTGTGCATGCGCTCTCGCGTACAGCCTGCGAGCTGGGTGGCTGTGGGTTGGGACCCCTAAAGGTCTCAGGGTGTGGATTTAGAAATGGCTTATCATGCACTGAGTGAGCGCTGTCTCAACGCAGCAGAGATGCTGGTGGTGGGACAGGGGTTTGAAAAAGAGAAGCAGCGTGCCCATGGTGTGTGCTCTGCCCTTCCTTCCTCCTGGCTCTGCTTTGCCCTGCTCTTCGCAGAAACTCTGAAATTCTTCCCAGCCTCGGATCTTGCGTTACGGAAGGAACAGGATCTTCAGTGAGACGTCTCTTTGAAGGTCACAGTGTCTCTTCAGATGAGTTGTTTTGAACTCTCTGACCCTGATGGGGGGTCACTGCTCAGCCCGCGCCGCTTTGGCAGCAGGAATGAGCAGTGAAATCATGTCCAGCTCTACCCGTTGCTGCAGCCCAAGATCCAAGTACTCACACAGTGCTCCACAGCTGGCTGGGTTCATTGCGTGGTACCTGCCTCTCTTTTGGGCCTGAAACGGGAAAGAAACTATGAATTTGGAAGATGTACTCTTTGCTAGCTTAGATCCTGCGTGATATTTTTCTTGAAGCCTGCCCGGTCAGCTCAGCCGGGTGAGCGTTCCAGGCAGCAGAGCCAGCGTAAAGCAAGGCATTTTCTAAACTTCGGTGTGGGCCTGGAACTTGCTGAATGTATCCAGGAATTTGGCAACCGCAAAAAAATACGGTGGGGGGAGGGAGAGTGGTATGCGCCTGTCCTGCTTTGAGGTCAAGCAGAACTAATTTTCTGTTCTGAAAGGTAATCTTTGCTGCGTGCTGTCTGCAGAAGACAATCTGTGTGCTTTTCCTGTGGTTCAGTGCAGGGTTGGTGTCCCGCTCTGCTTGCAATATAACATCTTGCTTTTAGAGGTGAAGGGCGTGAGCAGGATGATACAGAGTCACAGTGTGGTTTGAGTCAGAAAGGACCTTCAAAGATCATCTAGTTCAACCCCTTGCCCAGGACAGGGACATCTTCCACTAGATCAGGTTGCTCAGAGCCCCGTCCAACCTGACCTTGAATGTTGCCAGGGATGGGGCATCCACACCTTCTCTGCTTGACCTGTTGGGATATGTTGCATCTGAGACCTTACTTATTCTTTGTTTCTTGTGAAATTGCACAAAAGGTACCCCAAGCAGGTGTATTGAAAGCAACTCCACTTTTGAATTGCTGGTTGTAGGTTTTCTAGACTTAACTCTTCCTCTGCCATGTAAAATGTAATACACAGCACGTCACGGGCTGCCACCTCAGCAGGTCACCCACCCTCACAGTCAAAATTCAAGCCCTGGTTTGACTCATGGGAAAGAAAGAGAAATGCACTTTGGCTTTTTGAAATCTTGTGCCCAGGACCTGTGTCCCTCCTTGGTGTGATACCCCAGGGATGCACTGGGCTGGTGTGGGCTTGGCAGCTTGAATTAGTCACGGGATTTTACACGGACCCCGGTGGTGTGGGGAGGGTGCATATACACCTCCTCTGAATCCTCCTCCTGCACAGAAGAGGGGCTAATATTTTTTAATAGCAGTAGCTGTTGGGAGCTGCAGGCTGGCAGAAGGAAGCTGTAGGGTGAGGTGATGCTGTGAGGGAGGGTGAGAAGCCCCCACAGCTGCTCTGGGGCAATCCCTGCCCTGCGGTGCTGCAGGAGGTCCCAGGCTGGTGGCCCCAGGAGCAGCGTCCCGCGCGTTCCCTGCTGTTTGTTCCGTGCACTTGTGTGTGTCATGCCTTCTTCTGTGGGTTTTGAGTAGATCCTGTGTGGTCTGATGTCCGACACCAAAGTCCCTGATGTATTGTGTGTATTTTTTTGTAAATTGTTTTTTTTTTCTTCTTCTTCTTCTTGTAATAAAATATTACAGTTATTTTTTATATACTTGAAACTCTTCTCTTGTTTGCTTTTTGACTCACTCTTGCAAGCTACAGAGCCCAGGGGTGAAGGTTGATCTGAACAGACATTGAGAACATGCCAGTGAAATGGGTGTAAATGTGTCCTTCACCTTTCAGTTGATTTTAGAAGCTCATTAACAATAACTGTCAGCAATCCTTAATTACTTTTCACTCCCTGCATGTGTTCTGCTCGCTGGAAATGGCATGGCAAAGCACGTTAATGGAGGGGAAAAAAAATAATCAATATTCGGCTGTTGCTTGTGGTGAGAGAATCCCTTCTAGGTGCTCGGCTGCTGCTTGAGCAATGCAGTGGGCAGTTCTTAACCAGGTGCCTGAAAAATGGGCTTCCAAGCCCAGTTTGACCAAAACCCGGACGCCGAGGGGGGTTTCTAGCGTCGTTCTGGGGCAAATTGCAGCTTTGTAGGGTTTGATGAAAGGCTGTGGTAGATGATGATTGGTGCTTTGGAGGCCCTTTGACCTTTGGAGGCCCTTTGGCCATCAATGGATGATATGGGTTGGAAGTCAAATCAAGGATCTCTCCAGAGCAGGAACTGTGGGGTGGAAGTAACAAAAATAAGTCTTTTATTCCTCTTGGTGCTGGATCCAGACTGTGGCTTGGCCAGACCCTCTGCTGCTTTGTCCCACCAGCGGGAATCTTCACCCAACCAGCTCTTCATGACCATGACTGTCTGGAGCTTCCAGCGGATGACTAGGAGGGTAGCAAGAAGGTCCCTCCTTGTGTTTCCTTCTGGAGAAGGTGAAGCAGAACATCTCCAGGTGGGACCTGTCCCCAGCTCCTGGCTCTGGGGGTGCAGCCAGCACTAGAGGGCAGCAGCCCTCCGTGCTGGGCAGGGACGGCACAGCAGGACGGGACAGCAGGACAGGGCAAGGTGGGAGCCCTGTTTGCTCCACACCAAGTTTCTTCAGGGATCGCAACCTGGGATGGCCTCAGCTGAGCAATGCAAATGGGGACAGGCAGCGGTGAAGAGCGAAGACTTGAGGAAAAGGGGATTTTCCACCCATCTGGTGGTGCCTGAAGGAAGAGCAGGGGTGAAACAAGGCGAGCAGGAGATAGGGCTTTGAGCTGGACCCCAGGAAATCTCGTAGCATGGAGGCTGGAGGGGCTGAACTCCTCCACCTCCCATGGCCGGTGGGAGGTTGGCCATAGCCCAGGTGGGCTTCACTGCCTGCCCCGGGTGGGAGCTCCTGCCCATGGGCCAAGATCTGGGCTGGAAGGTGGTTCAGAGGAGGGAGAAACCTCCTCTTCCTGCATCGGGGACCTGCAAAATCCTCCTCGGCCAGGGATTTCCAGGGCGGTGGGGCAAGGAGCCGGCCCTGATGGGGAGGATTTCCCCGATCTACGGGCTGGGCTCTGCTCCGGGGAGACAGGGACAATGGGAAACACACCCCCCCCAGCCCATTTTCCAGGCTCTCCTCCAGGAAAGGGCTGAGGCCAGACACAGCAGAGCAGATCCCAGCCCCATTGGGGACACCCCCGGGGTGACAGTGATAGCAAGGAGGGATGCTCCCCCCTCCCACCCCCCGCAAACACACCACCGCTTCCAAAACCTGCTTTTATTTACATTTCAAGTCAAATCACATGCAAACCCTTGTTTTGTTGTGGTTGTTTTTTTTTTTTTTCCTCATTTTTCCTTAAGAATAGTGTGATTAGCAAAAAAGACGCATTATTAGAATTTTAAAATAGCAATTAAATATACAAAAATATAGCTTACAAAAAAAAAAAAAAAAGAAAAAAAAAAACCAAAACAGCGAATGTTTTAAAAAATATTCTGCTGCAGAATTCGTAGTGTACAAACACGTCTATGAGGCTCCTCGCTCCATAAACAGTCTCGGGAGTCGCAGGGTATTTACAGGAGGGGGGACGACACCCGGAGCCTTCCCAGCCCCATGCCCCATCCTGTGCCTGGGGGGGAAGGGGGCTGGGAAAGCCGCTGCCATCTAATACTGACACCCCTCCTTCCCCCACCCCCCCAAAAAAAAAGGGGAGAAAGAGTTGCAAAGGTGGAGAGGGACACCAGGGACTTTGCTACGGCGCCCAAATTTGCCCCGCGAGGTGGTGAGAGAGGTGAGGGAGTGGCACAGGCCCCCCTGACCCCAGCAGCTTTTGCACTGGATGATGGCTGGGTGTGGGGTGTTTTGGCACGGTAAAACCCTGCCGGTTCACCCGTCCCTCGCCCAGAACACCTCCGGGGCCAGGCTGAGAGTGACGGGATGAACCCAAAGGACAGGATTCTTGCCCCCCACCCCCATCCCAGCAAGCCCCTGCCACGGTTTCCGAGGAGGTGGCGGTGGCCACCAGCTCTCACCATGGATGGTCTGCGCCAGGATCGTGCCTGTCGGAGGGACTAGTGGCCCCGCTGAGGTAGCCCATCGCGCCCAGGAGGGGGGCAGCCACCCCTGGGGAGGGTGAATGGGGTAACCAAAGCCCACGGAGACCCCATGCCACTACCCCCCTGCCATCTCCCGTGGGCGACACCAGTTTCCCTGCCCTGGTTAGCCCTTTGGGAGGAGCAGTGGGTGCCCAGGAGGAACCCAACCGCGGCATGAACCCAGTGTTGCTGCGCCCGGGGAGCTGAGACCCAGTTTTGTAGGCAGGGATTGCAAAGGTAACCCCGTGAAAATAATGGTAGAGGAGAAGGGGGCAGGGACCAGCCGTGATGCTCCTGGGTCCCACTCCCTGCATTTTGGGCATCATTTTTGGATGGCTGCAGAGGGGCACGGGGGGCAGCAGGGGCAGGAAGCGTACCGGGGCGTTCGGGGGGGACGTCACGGCCTTGCAGGAGGCTGATGGGCACCGTTGGGTGGCTCGATACTGCTCCATCGTGCCCTACGCTGCTTCCCGTCGGACGTGGTGCTGGAGAAGGGATGTGCTGTAAGAAGGATGTCGTGCAGGGTGGCTGCCGAGGACCCTCGCCCCAGGAGAGGAATCAAGCCCAGGCTCGAGTGTGAGACCCTTCATCCCGGCACAGCTCCACGGAGGCAGGTTTTTGGGGCGTGAGGCTCTTCAGCTTCGGCCGGCGGGGATGTGCCCCCCTTATAAAGTGCTCCAGGCTCTGCGCCCGGCCACCCGTGTCCTCCCCTGTCCCTCTGTGCTGGTGCCCAAGTGCTTTGGTTGTCTCCAAGTCCCCCAGGGCAGCGGCAGGGTGCCCCCCGCTGGGGGGCAGTCCCCGGGGCGGTGGAGCTATACGATGTTCTCTGCGCCGGGGAGGGGGCCCTGGGGGGGCCCGGGGTCCTGCTTGCCGTGCAGCTGGGCCAGCTGCAGCACCGGCATGTTGCAGAGCGGGCACACTTTCCGCACCTCCAGCCACTTGATGAGGCACCTGGGGGGGACACACAGACATCACAGGGGTGCTGCAAACCCTCCCCTCCCCCAACTCCATGCCCCGTGCACCCCTTTAGGGTGGCAGGCACCCCTGGACCTCCGCAGGGGGTGACAGGCTGTGGCCTGGGGGCTATGAACCAGGTCTGATGCTGCTGAATTTTTTAATTCACCATTTAGGTGACTTTATATTTTATTAGTACATTTTTGGGGGCGTGCATATACATACATGGATTTTTATGTATGTATAATATATTATATAGAGAGAATTTATATCTAGTTATAAAATAGATGTAAAATGTATACACATAGAATCATAGAAGGGTTTGGGTGGAAGAGATCTTCAAGATCATCTAGTTCCAACCCCCCTGCCGTGGGCAGAGAGACCTCCCACTAGAGCAGGTTGCTCAAAGCCCCATCCAGCCTGGCCTTGAACACTTCCAGGGATGGGGCACCCACAGCTTCTCTGGGCAACCTGTTCCAGTGTCTCACCATCCTCAGAGTGAAAATTCCTTTCCTAATATCTAATCTAAATCTGCCTTCTTTCAGTTTAAAACCACTATGCTTCTTCCTATCGCTACACTCCCTGATAGAGTCCCTACACGAAAATATATAAAATACATATATATACAAAAAGGTATATATGAATATATGCATTTTATACATATAAAAATTGTACATATCCATCATATATACATATCATACATCTATAATGCATATATATCATACCTACAAAATTCACAGTGTTTTACATTTTTATAAAAAATATATATAAAATTTATATCCACACATTTTTCACAGAATCACAGACTATCCTGAGTTGGAAAGGACCCCTGGGGATCATGAAGGCCAACTTTGGATTCAACACAGGGCAAGCTACAAGTTAAACCCCACATCCAAGAGCAATGTCCAAATGCTTCTCGAATATCAACAGTCTGTGGGCCATGACCGCTTCCCTGGGGAGCTTGTTCCCATGGTTCTGTATATATATTTTATAAATACATCTAAATTATGCATATATAGCTTCAGTCTACTGTTCCAGGGACTTACTTTCTGTGGAAGGCATGTTTACAGGGACAGATCCCCAGCTCATCCTTGGGCTTGAACTCCTCCAAGCAAACAGCGCAGATCTGAAAGACGTGAGAGACAAGGAGAGAAGGCAGTCAGCTGCTGGGAAGCAAAAAAAAAACCAAACCAAGCCAAGCCCCAAAAAAACCTCCCCCAAAGTCATGCCCTCAGCCAGTTTCCATCTTCTCCCTGGCGCTCGCCTCACCCCTGCCTTTGGTTGGGGAAAAAAAAGGGTAATTTGGCTTCTGATGGCAGCGAGGGTACACTGCGCAGCGGGGGGAGAAATACCTCCCCGTACCAAAGGGAAAACAAACTCCTCTTTTGCTATAAATGCTCCATTTTGACCAAAAAGCTGCTTTTTTTGCCCCCCTGTGCTGCAGAATAAACATTTGGGAGGTTTCTGCATCACAGAGGGGTGAAACTGCCCCCCTAAAGCCTTCCCAGACTTCACTGCCCAGGCTTTGGGATCACAGGCTGAGGCTGATCCCTCCCTTTCCCGGTGGAGGGATCCTGGAGCCTCCTCGGAGCAGCAGCCACAAGGCTGGGATGTGTTTTGACGTGCCAGGAGGCTTTAGGATGGAGGAGGATGGGTCCACGCTGCTGCTTGGTCCCTGAGGCCGAGCTGCATCCGCAGGGATAACTTTGGGAAGAGGAAAAGGCAAAGGGTGCATCTCTGCCTCGGGGATGGGAAGGTCGGTGGCTGTTTTCCCGGTGGGCAAGAGGCTGAGATGAAATCTCCTTACCCATTTTGGACATTCCTGGGGATTTTGGATATTCCCGGGGATTTTGGATATTCCTGGCTGGTTTTCCCAGACCCCCTCCCCTGCCCCCCAGGCTGGGAAGTCTCGTCAGTCCCAAACAAAGGCCAGCCCTGCTGCCAAAAGCTCTCGGGAGGAGGCGGGTGGCTGGCAAGCGCCGCAGGAGGCTCCCGGCTTTCCCAGGAACGCGGTGCCCGTCGATACTTTCCAGCCACCCAAATCTTGTTGGAGATTTTTTTTTTTATTGGGCAAGAAAACGTTGGCGTAGCTGCTCAGGTCAGCCCCCGAGGAACACACACGTCTTGCGCCCCATGAAAAGCCCGGGAGATGTGGCATGAGGGGAAAAAAGGGGGAAAAACAAACCCCGAAACACGGGGCTGAAGAGCTCAGCAGGGACTTTCCCCTCTGGAAGGCTCCGGGCAATCCCTGGCAGCCACCCCATGATGTTGCAAAATCCCCCCCATGCTCTGCTTTCCAGAACCGCTTACTGTAAATACCACAATCCAAATGCCCAAAAAGGGATATTTTGGAAGGAGCTGGAGCAAATCCCTTCCAGCCATTCCTAAACCCCAGGGAAGAGCTCAAACTGCTCTATCCCCTTCCCCACTGACCCCTTGTCCTTCCCAAAAGAATTTGGGCTGGGAGAGCTGCAGAGAGCTGGGACCAGAGGTGATGGAGGAGGAGGAGGATGATGGAAGGTTATCACTGCTGTTCCTGGCTCTGGCGCGCTCCCAAATCCCTCCTACAAGGAGCCTCTCACCCCGGGAAGTGCTTTTAAGTCTCCATGCCAGCAAAAAACCCCACTGCAAGTCAATTTAATGTGAGCAGATCAGAAACAGGGGCCTCAAGCAGGGACTGCTCCATCCCTCCACCACCCTCTTGCCCTTGGGATTTAGGCCCTCGGCTGTGGGGAGCGGAGGGTGAGGATGAAACGTGGGATGGGCTCTTGCTCCTCTGTGGCTTGGTAACTACTCCAATCATCTTTTTAACGGTCTGTGCTTCACAAACCCACAGACTTAAATCAACAGCAAGTGTTTTTCCATTGAGACTGCTCAAGTTGACAGGTTGCCTCACAGGTTCAAGGATTTGCCACAGATTAGTCACTCCCATTGTTCTAGCTTCTTTGTTGTCAGCGTGAAGATTTTAGCTGTGAAGACCAAGCAAAATAAAATACTTTCAGAATATAACACAAAGCATGACACATTATGAATGTGAGGTTCAGAAAATAAATATTTAGTCATTATCAGTTTTCCTTTTATAAGCCAAGAACACTTGCAATCAAGCCCTCTAAGCGTGTAGTGACTCCAGTTCACAGATGGTTTATTACCAAATACCTTCTTTTGACTGTACATTTTCATTGCAAATAGCCTGAACATAAATAAAAATACCCCTCAGTTGGGGAAAAAAAAAAAAAAAAAAAAAAAAAGCAGCAGTTTATAAACAAATGGAGCTGGTATTTAACAGACGAGAGACCTCATGTCCGGGATACGGGTGGGCATTTTTGTTGTCATGAGGGGAAATAAATCCAGCCTGTGTTTGAAGCAGGGCTGGAGCAGATTCCTGCTCAACTTCAGCATGAAAAATGGTCTGTAAATAGGGGTACTCAGCTCCAAAACTGCCTGGAAAGCTGAGAACAACTACTGAGTTTTAAACCTCAGGAGGCAGGTAGGTAGAGGTGGATCAGGGTAAGATGGTTACTCTGAGCTGTGTTTCAGCCCTCTCTTAACTCGTTAACGCAGAGGAGCCCAGCAAGGAGCCACTTCTGTGCCCACATCGTGGGGACAGGGCAGGCACTGGCACAACTTCCTCCACAAACATTAAATGCAAATATGGCCAGGGCTTTGCTTTTTGGCTTTTTTGCTCCTGAATCCGAGAAGAAGCATCCATGTTTTTGGGACTGGCAAAAAGGAGTTCAATTCTTAATGCCTCCAATCAGACACCCCTCTGCCTGCCTCCTCCAGCCAGCTCTTCTCTGCGAAGCGGGAGCGTGAGGGGCAGAAGCTTGGGGAGTATGTTTATCTTTGATTTCAATTAAATCCCAGCAGAGTTTACTCTGCCCGAGTAACGTGGCCGGCAGAGATGTGCTGGACATCGTCACGCTCTGACGGTGGCAAGGCCTCCAGAGCTGGAGGGGATGTAACCATCAGGGGACACTGTTTATGCCCAGCCCGCCTGTCTCTGCTTCCCCTTTTATCCACAGCTTTTTATCACAGTGATTATAATAATGCAGTAAAAAATAAAAGTAATAATGCAGTGAATAATAATGCAAATAATTAAAATGCTAATAACAATAACAACAACAATAATCATAATACTAGAAATCATAATGATGCAATAAAAGCTACAGAGGACCCAGGGGGGATATTTAATCCAGACCCCCTTTGCAGATGTGCTTTTACTGGCTGCATTAACAAGCAATTAGACTTTCTGAGAGAGCAAAGCAGCGTCAGGGAGAGATGGAGCTGCTGGTGCAGCCGTTAACCTGCCCCATCCACGGTCCCTGTAATGGGGTAAGAGGCTGCAGAGCAAACCCCACTGCTGGCAGCACGTGGGCAATGGTGCTGGCACACCCAGACGTGTGGTTTGCTCCTGAAGGAGATAAATTTGAGTTTTTGCATCCTCTTGCCTGTGCCAGGCTTGGTCTGTCTCCCAGCCCCTCCCCAGCTCAAGGAAGAGGAAGGTGAGGGAGTCTTTGCTGCAATGCTACCGCCCCTGGGACGTACTCACCTCGTGTAGGTTCAGCTCCTTCACCTTTTCCTTGAGTATAACCTGTAAGACACAGAGCCCGGGATCAGGACACAGCTTCTGCCATGAGTGTTTACAGGAAAAATCACCATAAGGAGAGATCCCATTTAGCTTCCCAGTAGAACTGGAAACCCTCAGTAAACCCAGCACAGCCAGGGAACACATCAGATCTTCACCCCTGTGCAAGCACAAGAGGAAGGCAGTGCTGGCACAGCTACAACCACTAACATGAGGACCAAATCCAGGAGGTCTCCTCCCAAATTTAAACTTCTTGGGCTCCCACACTCTGCAACAAGCTCCTGCATGGATGTCTGCTGCTTCATTTTCACTCCATCCAGGCTAAACACCTGGAGAGGGCTATAAATTCAGAACGACCAAATGTTATCATATCTTATCAGCCCAACTCCACCCAGTTTCCTCCTCAAACAACAGATTAGAAGCAAAAAATTACACAAGCCCTGGAGAAAACAGGACATTGGAGCAGCAACCTGACACAGATCTCTTGGCTGTGTTTATTTTAACACGGGCGCTGGCAGATGCAGAAAACGGCTGGGTTTGCCAAGGTGACATGGAGGTGGTCCCTACAAGAGGTCCCTGCAAAAGCCCCATGGCTGCAAGTGGTTCGGAGCAGCCAGGTCCAACCTGGGGAGCAGATCTGAACCCCACAAAACATCGTTTGATTGCTGGGGAAGTGATGGCATTACTGCTCACTACTGGAAAACAAGGTGAGGGTTTGCCCAGTTGAGGTGCTCCAGGGGTGGAGATGTCTCCACCGCTCAGGGACCTCATCTGAAAATGCAGAGACCTGCAGACTTATGGGTGAGAGACACTCCTGGGGTGCCCAGCTAGCAGAAAAAATTTAAAGCAGCAGGGATAGAGGTTTGCCCAGGCATTACAATTTCTTTTGGAAAACCAAAAGCCTTCCAAGGAGAACAACACAGTGGAAACCTACAGGAGTGACTACTGTGATGGAAGATGACAACTTGCTGTGTATCATCTTACCTGTTTGTAGGCGTAAAGCTCTTTGTGTGCTTGATGTCTGAGCCTGCAATCAAAACAAGGAGAAATGTGAATGCAGATCAAAATACCAGTCTTGCTGTAATACTCCAAACATTTAATTTCTTTCCTTTCCAGATTTTTTTTATTATTATTTTTCATTTCAGAAACAAGAATGGACACAAAACCCAACATATTTAAGTAACAACCAGCTTTCCCTGTAGCTGGGAAGGTAACACCTCCATCCAGAAAGTGCACAACCTTCTCCCATTTTCATTCACAAAGAGGTCATCCACCTGGTTGAGCAAGCAGAGGATGGCTATTTATCCAAAGGTGACACTGGAGCAAAAAGCTTTGGAAGAGAAGCAATGGGATGTCTTCCATCTCTCATTTCCTATCACAAGGGGCAATTTAGTAACCAGAGAGATAACAAGCTGCCAAAAAAACAGCCTGGGAATGAAGCTTTATCTTGGGATTTTGGGGGTTTTTTACCAGGAGACCAGATAGAGGTGTGCTATGTTAAAGCACAAAATGACAAGCCCACATTATGACACGGGGCACTCCCTGCCCCAGGGAAGGAGCCAGAGCCATTGCCATAGTGGAGAAACATCAGGATTATAAACTGTGTAAGTTGCTTCCCCCCACCTACCTTTCAAAGCACTGTGCTCAGCACAATTTGGGGTTCTGGGGAGATTTTCTTCCCCAATAGCATCCACTCCTGGATTAAATCAAGTGGTGGAGATGAAGCTACTCCAAAACCTCCTGCTGCAGTGGGAAGTCCAGCTGGTGGCAGCAGCAGGAATCTGAGACCACAAGCAAAGGACCAGTCCTACCCCTCCCTCTCCAGCCTCCCCTCTCCAGGAGGCACAGGTGGGAGCAATTGTCCCCATTCCTGGGGACCAAGTGAAACAGCAAACACAAAACCACATCACATCCCTCCATAGTTTTCAATTCAAACTACTCTTAGTAAACCATCTTTCCACAGCAGAACAAGCAGCAGCCCATTCTCTGAGCCTGGCGGAGCACTCTGCAGGCACCAGCTGGCCAGAGAAGCTGATTATGCTCCGACAATAAATCCATTTTAAAAAAGGATAACTAATATTGCTTCTCATTACAAGACATGGCATTTAGTGAAGGGCTCTGAAAACTCGAGAGGGAAGTCATCAAGGCTAAATACTTGGCCAAGGACTTTAACAAGAAGTCAGAGTGTGTCTGCAGGGCTTGGACAGGAGTATTTTCTCCAGCCAGTCTCACACGTGATTTCAGATGGGAAACCACTTTGCCGGTAAAATCACTTCTCCAAAAATATTCTAGGGGCTGTCACAAACCCCAGCTGTTTCACCCTGAGGTCTTAGAGGCTTTCTGGTCCTGCAAGGCTGAAGCAGGTGACTTACAAAAACAGGATGTAAAACTATATCCCTCTCCTTCTTGCTCAAAAACACCCTCCTTCCTGCAAAATGCTGTGGGCCTTAGAAATTGAGGAATGGGTAAAAATGTAAAAATGCACTTTAATGCTGCAGAAAGAGCTTGGAGCTGCAGTAAGTCAGCTCAGGAGCCCTGAATTTAGCGGGGAGCCATCCCTCCTCCTCTAATGCTGCTCCTGGCAGGGAACCTGCCTGCTGAGTCACGGGTAAAACTGCAGCAGGCAGGGAGGAGAAGGCTGGGGTCGCATCCCTCCGCCAACAACCCCCAGCAGAATCACGAGCAGAAGATGCATGAACAATAGAGAAAACAGGATGAAACTGGCCTGATCTGCAGGGATCCTAGCGACTGGGAAATGGGTTATGAAACACAGATGGGGCAGAGCAAGATGCATGGCTGGAGACCGCATACAAGGGGAGAAATTTTTCCAGCATGGGAAAAAGCATCTGTCTTATGGAGCACCAAGCAGTAGCCAAGGCTTTGGCCCTAATGAGCCAAAGCTAACAGAGGGAAGGTGTCAGGCACAACAAGTCCAAGCATCTGCAGAAGCGGTGGTGGCATCTGGACCAGCGATGGGGACAAAGCGACCACCTGGCCATGGTTCCCTGCAGCTCTGCAACTGCTGGAGGAGCACGGATACTCAACAGCATGAGTTGGTGCTGAGCTACATGGGGAGACTTTGCCAAAAAATCCCACCTCCCTGAAGGTTATGGGGAACGGCACGAGCACATCTGGTCCCAAAGCGTGCGAGCTCCGTCTGCTCCTCCACGCTTTCCCTTCAAAGCCAGGATCCTGGGCCAGATGGATCCCGGTCGGACCTAGCGCAGCTGTCGTAACGAGAGCCCGGATCCTGGCAAGCGTTACTCCCCGTCAGACCCAGGGCTTCATCCATCTCGTGTCAAGAGCTGCGACTCCGGAGGAATTTCTGGCAGATGGCTGATTTAGATAAGGGACCACACAGCGTCTTAAAAGCCAGTGCGTAGCTGGAGACCACGCGTGCGCGCACGCCGTCACCCATCTCTGAATTTAATAACCGCTTCGCACGGACTTTGTGAACTCTTCCCAAGCTTCCCACACCTCCCAAAGGAAAGGGAGCATCCCATTTCTCTGGGTGACTCTGAATCATCTGTAGCAAGTGAACGACTGGGGGAATAAAATGCAAAAGAAACTACTTTTTGCAGGTTTACCTCCAAGATCTGCTTATTTGAGGTATTGGAGTAGAAAGATTAGAAAAGCACCGATGCTGGCTCTTCCCCCATCACTGCATCGCTCTCCCCAGCCCAGGTGGGTTCCCTGGGCTCTCCAAACCCAACCACTGTGTTTGATGCTGGCAGGTTTGAAAGGAGAGAGCCCTATAATAAAGCACTTTTTAAGGGCTGCACCTCCCATGGACATTGGGCCACTAGTCCAGGCAGAGAGGAGCTCCACGCGACCCTCAGCAAAGCACACGCAGAGAGGACAGGGCAGTGTCTCCAAAGGGCAAGCACGTCATCCAGATGCTGAGAAACCACAGCAACACTGGGTTCAGCACCCTCCTGAACTGCATTTTAGGGGAAAAATGGCAAAATGAGGTGATCACTTTCATTAATTCAGCAGAGATCAGACAAAACCGGCTGCCTGCAAAATTTAATTTCCTTTTTCTTCCCCCTTTTTTTTTAAAAAATGATTCCAAGCAGAGGCAGCAGTCGCGAGGGTAGGACCCATGCTCTGCACCGGCGTGGTTCGCAGCAGCAGAAGAGCTCAAGATTTGCCGGGACTGCACACAGACCATGTTGACCTTTGCTTTGCTTTTGGCCGAAATTCCTATGGGACTCCAGTTTGAGCCAATCCAACTAAAAACCTCACTTCTTCCTGCCGTCGGAGCAGGCAGCACACCCTGTATTGACATAGTTGTGCAGCGCAGCCCACGGGCCCTCCTCCCCAGCGCATCCTTCATTTCACGCTGTCAGCTCTACGATTCGGGGTAAATACACCAGATATTGGCTCTTCCACGCTCCGGATGCCTCCCCAGCCGGGGATGCGGAGGAAGGCTGCATGGGATGCTCTGCTCTGGAGCAGGTGATGAGAAGCAGGGCTCGGAGGACAGTGTCACGAGCTTTGCTTGTTATTTGCCAAATATTTTAGAGATATGTGAGTCATGAGAGAGGAGGGAGAGAGAGAGGATGGGCTGTGTTGCCTCTGCACCTAAGCAGGGCCTGGGGAAAGCGAATAACCCCCGCAGGTGACAGCAGAGCCCTGGAGCTCCTGAGGGGATTGTCCTTGTCCCCAACCCTCTGCCCTGGGTTGGTTTCTCTGAGGCGACATGGTGTGACCCCTGCTGCATCTGCTTGTTAAATTAACACCTCTCTTTTACACAGCCTCCAGATGTAATTCTGTATTAAAGCCACGCATCTCATTGCAGAAGGGGTCAGGAATGATGGGGTAATCCAGGAGGCTTTAGCAGCTGGTTTAGGAGAGGGAAAAATTAAATTTAAACTAATATCTTACTTTGTATATTAAATCCTCCTGCCGCAGGGCTACGGGTACTTGTTTGCTACACAGCCAGGCACCAGCAATGGGCACCAGCAATGCTTCAGTGTTAAATGGCACTGACATGGCACACCCTTCCCAGTGCAATCATTTGGGATGCTCTGCACTTTCAGGCACATGGTCCTCATCCTGCTGTCCATCTACAAGGCTTTCCAAACCATGTTGAAGCACAGGCTGAGATTACACAGCAGTTTCAAAGGAGGTGGATACTCCTGGGGCACATTGGCTAAAGCTCATGGCACGGCAAAACCCTCCAAAACAGGGGCTGGAGGATTCCTGCTCGGCTCTGTTTTGCCAATAATAGAGCTGGGGGCGGTGGTTTGAAGAGCAGTTCATAGAGTCCCTATAGAGTTTAGGGCTATAAAGGGATCATTAGATGATCTAATCCAACCTCCCATCTATCATAGGTCGTTAAATATCACTTCGTTACTCCCGGGAATGGGAGCCAAAGCGTCTCATCCAGAAAGGCGCTCTGTCTTGATTTAAAGACATGAAGAGACGAAGGACTTGCCACTTCCCTTGCTGGCTTGTTTCAACTGTTACTCAGCCTCTCTCTTACAACATGCCTCCAATTCTAAATTTAAAGACTTTCTGGCTTGATCTTCCAGACATTACTACTTGTTATTTCTTCTTTGGGGCAGAACACACCCAGCAAGACCCGGTGCCCAGGAAAATACTCTGAAAGTCCAAACACCTCTTCGTTTTGCAAGCAAGCCATATAGATTCAAGCTCAATCTGGGCAAAACATGTCCTTGAGTCTTCTGAACACCATTTGTCTATTTTTTTGTGTCCCCTCCCACTGGTGTCCCAGTTAAAATAGGAACACTGGACACAGACGCAATATCCCAGCACAAACCTTGTTGATACTGAGCACTGAGACACAAATCACCTGGTCAGAGATGACCCCTCGATCTGTTTCTGCCGTGTCTGCCAGGGTGGAGAGATGTGTTTCACCTTCAAACAACTTTATCTTGTGCACAATTATAGGCAAGTGAAGATCTGATGCCCAGGCAGCACAAATTACCCCCGGGTAAGCCTGGGTTTGGGCTCACCTGCAAGTTTTGCGAGGCTTTGCCTCACACAGAGTTGAAAATAGGTGGAAATTATCTAATATTTCGAAGGCGTCATTGAAATCTTGCTTCTGTGGTCTACAAAAGCAGGGCACAACATTTCCAACATCCTCTGGATAAAAGCCTGGTGGGACTGGCTGCTGTGAGCCAGGCAGATGCTGCCTCCATGGTGCAAGAAGACCATGTGTGTGTCTTACAGGCACAGAGGGAGGTGATGTGATGGATGTACAGCTAGCAGGAATCTGGGCCATCCAAAAAGCCAGAAGGGAGGGAAAGGGGATGGAAAAGCTCTTCTGCAACTTGGCAGCTCCGGGTACGCAGGATTTCAGCAGCCACTGCTGGCAGAGCCATGCCCTCTGCTCCCAGCTGCAGGGAGAGGCACAGCCAGCCCCTCATCCCGGGTCATCAGCACAACTTGTCCCCATCACTGCCTCGATTCCCAGGCACTGTGTTTTTCCACACCTGCCTCTTGCTTTCCTCCAGCTGGAAGAGTTCCTCCTCTCAATTAGTGGCCCAACTCTCTCCCCAGTGGCCCATAAAATAATTAAAACAAGCCCCAAACTAGAACAACCTTTAACCCTCCCATCCCACACCCCATCGTTCAGATTAACAAATTAACTCTGCATCATTAATCTCTAAACTGCGCTGTTGAATGAGCAATTTGTGTACAATAACGAACGGAGCAGGTATTAAACATTTCTTAAGCACACAGTACACAAGTTACTCATTAAAGAGGAAAATGTGTTGAAACATTAAGCAGAGAGGAGGAACCATAAAACATCCCTTTCCAATCTTTTTTGAGGAGACAATCATGTTTTCATGCCTGTTTGAGAATACAAATAAATATATCTCCTATTTTTAAAGCGGATAATGTAATTGCCCTGTGGGACTGTCAGCTCCAAAATATGCTGGGCTCACTGTGTTGCTCTGGGTCTATTGGCTCTGTTAGAGATGAAAGCTGGGCCGAGCACAACCATGAGGGAAAGTTAAACCTCTTCCACAGGTCACATCAGTTTGGCAAGACACAGTGATGCCATCCTTGTTTTGGGATGGAGGGATCAGTGCTGGGCTTGGTCCGAATCAGGGCAACTGTTGAAAGCAGCTGGGGAACATTCCCTTACCTGATCAAGTAGCAACAGAAGAGCAAACTGAGGATGAAGACAAAGATGGCTGTGCCGAAAACCACGATGTATATGTTGAGAGGCAGGTTCTGGAATCCGATGTTCGGCATCCTGAAACTGTAATGCTGGAAGTCTGAGCTCATGGGTAGGCTGTGGAGACAGGGAGAAAACACAGGGATGTGAGGCTTCTTCAGCAGCACGGGATGCCCTTAGAGCAGCACGGGATGCCCTTCGGTGGAGACAAATGGTCCCACCAAAGGCAGGTGGTGGGGAAGGAGAGGGTAGCCAGCAGCACTGCCTGCTTGCTCCTCAACCCTGGGGTGATGGCATCCCGGCCCGAAACAGAGCGCCCAGCTCAGTAACCCTGAAAACAAAGCAGGGCTGGATGAGCCAGGGCTAGGATTTTTCTTCTCCTGCTACAAGCTTCTCCTCCAGCTATTTTCCCCTCTATCATCCTTAACACATCATCCTTTAAGTCAAATGCTGCATCAGATGGACAAGTGGGGATTTGCATCCAAGCAGCCCCAGCTGCAGTCAGTGCCCCCAAACTCTCATTAATTAGGCCAAAATATTCTAAGCAACCAGAGAGCCTTGTAGCAAGGAAGGTTTTTCTTCCCTTCCCCTCCTGTGGTTTCCACGATCGATTCCTCATTCCACAGAAATCCCCCCTCTGAAACCATCAATCCTGCACGTGACCGGCGCAAGTCCAACACGCTCCCAGCGCATCCCAGGCAGGATGGAAAGGACAAGGACATCCCCGTGCCGTACGGCAGCGCGGCTGGGAATTAGAGGGGCCATAAAAGAGGCTTGGTTTGTTTTTGCCACGTGAGATCTGGTCGGGCGGTTTAAGAGCCTTTTCGCAGGTTTCAGCTTTATTCCTCAGGATAACCCCACGCTGCTTCCCCCCAGCAAAACCCCGAAACAACTGCACGCGGCGGCAAAGAGGAAGATGCAACAACTTTGGCTGTCAACGTACCACGTCTCAGACGTGTGACCAAAACCTCCCTCCTCTCAGAGAGACTCAATTAAACAACAAGCAGCTGCCTGGGATAACGACTTCAGCGTATGATCTCTCTCATGATTTTAGTTTTATTGCATGGGACATTGATATTTTACAATAACCCTCATGGGGTGTTTTTCAGGAGTCAGGCAGAAAACCAGCCTGATGTCTCTGTACTGCTGTAAAAAATCCCTCGCCGCCATAATACCACATTGACATGTGAAACCCTTAACTGGAAAGCACATATTTATTATTGCCTATTATTATTCCTTTCCATCGCAAACATTCTTTGAGCCATTCAACCTTGAATGATCACAACCATCTCTGGCCAGGCATAAAGTTCACCCACTCCCAGCTTAGAAAAGGAAGTTAAAAAATATGACTTGTTTTCTTTTCTGCCCATGGGAGAGGGCTGGACGCCCTATTAAATTGCACAACAAGCAGGGAAATTACCTGAAGTCTGGACCCTGTTTCCCAAATAAAATTACCAAGGGATAACCAAATTCTCCTCCGGACTGGGGAGTTTTCAACACCGCATTAATTGCACATCTCCCAATTTTTGCACGGGGTGAGAAGAGAGGGTGAAACCATACAACCTGAAGCCAAACAATGCCAGGGAGCGATGCTCCAAAAATCAAAGCATCCTCTGAATGTCCCACTCCTCCAAGCAGCAGCCCTGCTCCTGCATCTCTTTTTCCCCTTGAGACTCCTTTTTTGCCAAACTCCCTGGGCGTTCCTCCATCCTCCCATCGTGTATACATTGCTCGTACATAGGTTACATGCTTCCCAGCTGCTCTGGAGGGAGCAGACTCACCTTTCATCCCGGCTCCTTCGCCAGCACTAGCCCCTCACCCGCACCCTTCTCGTGCCCCTTGCCAAAGGCAGCATCTCTCTCTGCTGGTGCCGAGCGCCCGTCCGAGAGCCTCCTCGCTCCGGCTGCTTGCAGTTTCCTCAGCTCAATGGAAGTTTCGAGGCGATTGCTGGTAAAGCCTGGATTTGATTAAAGCCTCCAGAGACCAACACGCATGTTCAGAAACTCTCCCGGCCAACGTGGAAATGCTACAAGAGCTCGGGGAGCCGGCACACCCCCCTGCCAGCGCTGGTGGGGATGTGATTTTATAGCACAGAACCACCCAGCAGCTCACACTCCTCCACCAATTGCTTGCTCTGCTCAGCCAAGCTGGTTTACTTTGCAAATAAAAAAAAAAAAAAAAAAGGACAGAATCCTGCTTCATTTATGGTAACGCCTCGGTCAATTTGCTGTTCCACAACAAACTACAGAAACTTTGCATCTGTTTTCTGATGCCATTTGTGCAAGGCCCTGACACAGACCAGACACATTACTTCAATCTCTTTGCCAGATGACACCAAGTTGCAAAATACTGTAAAAGGAAGTCACTGCTGGCCAGGAATCTAACCACCTTCCCTGGCAACGACAAACAAATGGCACAGAGAAAACCTCATCCCTCAAAACAAAAAGGGCGTCATATTCTAAATTTCCCATAATATTCCATACTGAGGATCACATTTCTGAGAGCAACCATGTAGCAGCTGCTTTTTTGTGCCACCGAGACAGCACCCACTTACACTCATTTACATTATTAGGAGAGTTGTGACTGTTGTGACGCAGACAGCATTGAAATATTTAATGGAGTTTTAATCTGCCTTTTCAAGCAGCTCACAAATGGAATGCAATAACTTCATGGGATTAATCAGTGTGCACAAATGACTAGCACAAAGCTAGTGCTTCCAATACCACAAATGGTCAATATTCCACAGGTTGCCAAAAAAAAAAAAAAAAAAAAAAAAGGCAAAACCAGCCGCCAAACCTTTGTTCCCAGCTCCAGCAGAGTTAATGCGCAGCTCAGTGTCGCTGCGTAGGGTTGGGTTTGGTTCTCATCTCCACGCTGTTTGCTGGGTCAAAGGGATTTTAGACGGTTCAGGGACTCTCCCCTCAGTCACGCTCATGTGACAGAGGATGTTTCAGCTGGAGGATAAGGCTACGGCTGCCCCCACTCGCCCTCAGGCTTGTGTTGATAGTCGCTGGTGTTGGCCAAGGTTGGTTGGCTCCAGCTCCTCAACCACCCAAGAGAAAGTCAAACATCCTCCATCTTGGAAAGCTCTGGGTGATTTTTTGTAAGGAAGAAGAGACCACTCTTGGGGAAGAGGCAACAAAACCAACCAGCACCAAGCTATTGTTTTTCCGTTCTTTACAACTCCTTTAACTTGTGACACTCTTCTTGCCAGAGCTGGGGCCTTCAGTTCAGCTCTCTCACCAGGAGATGCAGCAGCAGACAAAAGCAAAGATGGCAGATAAGGAAGAGCCAGGCTGCATTTAGGGCAGCGATTTCATCGAGCCAGAAAAACTCCTTACAGTTGTGTCCAGCTGGAGCCATGCAGCTCTTCCACCAGTTCCCATGACCAGCTACAAACCACCACAGCCCCTGGCAAACAAACAGTCAGTGGAAACTGAGTCCCATCCCACCCACAGCATCCTACTCTTTTCTTCCAACGATACCATTTCCCTAATATTTTGCCCCAAAAGGATGTCACTGTTGCAGCCATGACCTACCTGCCAGCCATACCACCAGAGCTCACCCTCCTGGGGACAACTCTTCAGTTCCCTACAGTGCAAGTCCAGCAAGTCCCACATGAGAGTCATCCAGCCCCTGTGTGAAATAACCTTCTCTATGTCGGAGCTACCCTGGTCCTCCCTCCCTCCTACTGCAACAGCTGAGAAATGTTACGGCAAAAAACACGGAGGTTAGGGGGAAAAAATAAGTTAGCCTGCACAGGATCCAGGAAACCGTTAACTTTAAAAGACTTCACTGAAATCTGATGATTTTAAGCAGCCAAGCTTTGGGGTTGGGTTTTTTTTTTAGGAGAGTCGGGCGGGGGGAGGAACTGTATTTTAATCTGCTTCAGATTTGTGAGAGTGCAGCCAAAAGAAATAAAAAAGGAGCCATAAAGAAGGATGAAAACTTTCTGGTGCTTAACAAAAGCCTCCCTGTTGCTCTCTCCATGGCCAAGGCATCTGAGCGCTGGCAGATGCCCCTGGGGCACCAACCACCCCTGGCAGGTCCCCGCAGCCCCTGGGGTGGGGGGCACAAGCTGCCTGGAGAAAAGGAGGTTGGTACCACAGAAACCCTATGGAGGGGAGGATTTCCCCAGGGCTGGATGAAACCCTCTCTGCAGCGAGAGGTTATCAGGGAGGGGAGGAAGATGCTGACTTGCTCCTCAAATATAAAATGATCCTGCTGTGATGGCAAGCACAAAGCAGCGGGGAATTTGGGCAGGTGCCTGCCTGATGCCCCATTTCTGCTGAGGTCTCTGGCGGTGACTGGGTCCATGGGGTCTGTATGTCCTCACAGAGCATGAAATTGCAGGGAGAGGACCAGGAAACACTGAGGGCCGGGAAGGATACGTGCCAGCCAGCAGCAGCCAGGACAGAAGAAACAACTTTGTTGTAGAAAGATAAACCTTGGCAAAGAGTGCGGAGAAAAAGCCCTGAACCAGGGAAGTCCTATGAGAGTCTCAAGGGCTGGCTGGAGGAACATCATTTCAGTGCACATAAAAAAAAAGTTTTTATATATATATATATGCATATTTCTTTGCAATATATACATTGCAATATATTGTACTGCAATATACCGTATATATAATATATTGAGATATAGATATATTGCAAAAAAAATCGCCTTTGACTAAAGCAAGGGAAAGAAAATCTGCTTTCTCCAGGCTGCAGGGCAGAGGGAACTAGAGGGTATTTATTTAACAGTACAACAGCCTGCAAGAATGAAAAGGAAGGGCAGTGTCCTCGCAATGGGGCCGTATGCATGGACGCAGAGAGAGCTGGGGATGGCAATGCCACCAAGCAGAAAAAGCTGAGCTCTGCGCCTCCTCCTTTGTTACATCCTCCAATGAATCAGCCGCGTGGGGCGGAGCACATCACCTTTCTTGGAGGACTACAAAAAACGAGGTTTAATTAAAAGCCGAGTTACGGTTCATGGCCTATCGAGAAGCCAGGAAGTGAAGTGTTACAGGTCAGCATTAACTCGCCGGCTTCGCAGCGCTTTGATTACAAGTTGGGCTGTTAAAGGCAAACCTAAATAAGCCACCTAGCCAAATTAATCCCTATTATAACCATAGC